TTAAGAAGTAGGTTAGAAGTGATTTAATCAGTTTATGACTTCATCTAGTTTATTTTTTAAATACTTCTAGATCATTTATTTCCTCACGTAGGACCTATTGATTACATGCTTTGCTAATGATTATGAAGCATACAGGTACAATTATGTTAATAAACTGAAGAAAACAACATTCAGCATTACAGTAGTCTTCACCAAATGAAATGGTATTATCAAAATCATCAGATAGTGGGTTGTAAAGGAAGTACTTTTTGACACAACTCACAATTAAACTTTGGAACTCACTGCCACAGAATGCTGTGAATGCCAGCCATTTAAATGGGCTTAAACAGATGAATTCTTGCTAGAAAAGCTCATTAAGGGCTATTAAGTACACAGATGCGGATGCAGCTGGGAAATCCTTAAGCCATGTATGGCTGGAAACTGGAAGGATGCAGGGAAGAAAAATACAAATCCATCCGATTTACAGCAATGCTCTCCCCTGTTCCCCTGTCCTGTGTGTTACTGGTGGGTGAAGGCAGGCTCCTGAGCTAAATGGACTTTTTGGTCTGATTTGGTATGGTAGTTCTTGTTCTTATCTGTAATTCACTTGCCTCTGGCTTAAGCAATGCAGAGGTATGATCCATTCGGTTTCCCTCTTCTATAACTATAATCAGAGGTACTTGGCTTTTTCTTCTGCGCTGAAGCTTTTGTACCTGTTCTGATAGTGTTCCTGCATGCAAGGCTCTCTCTTTTCCCCCCTTTCTTTTTACGAGTAGAATCGCCTGCCTTGTTATTAGCAGGCTGAGGCCTGAGTGGTGCCACATCGGTCTCTTCCTCCTACATATTAGACTAGTTTGCTCCCTTTGTGGTTTTTTGAGAAGCATTCAGTCCCTTCTCTCCCATGGAACTGCGCCTATTAATTCTTTGGCACTGTCAAGTGACTGATGATGAATCCACTGTTCTCCTGGTATTTTGCTGATTGAAGTGTTAACTGTTTGACATGGGTAGTACCATTTGGTTCTCTAGCAGTTTTCAGAAGAATGCTTTTTCCCCCCCCCCTTTTTTTCATTTTTAACCACTGCAGGTGTCTTGGGATTTCCTCTGCTGTTCTGTCAAAGCTGTGCTGGTCTTGGGATTCTAGGTCTGGATGTGATGTTAAGGATTTCTTCAGATGCATGTGAAAAAATTGTGGGTCTCTGATATTAAGTCACTGTTTGGGACAGGTAGGAAGGGGACCTTTTCTGTGAAACAGATTCTGTTCTTGTTTTCTCTTCTTTTCTTTTCTTGTTTCTTTTTTTCCTCTTTTATACCAAATACCTTCATAACAGACTCTTTCCTGTTTGGCGTAAGCAGGAAATGTTTGGCTGTACAGGGATCTGAAATATTAATGCCAGCTGAGCATACTCAGCTATTTCAGCTGTTTGCATCCCAAATTTCTTCTGTCCAAGCAGTCTTTAATCCTCAGCTAAGGCACAATTTTCAAGTTCCAAATTTAGGCTGTCTTTTAAAGTCAGTAGTGTTAGGTGTATGTGAGATTTAGTTTTGGGAGGTGTGTTTGTGTATTAAGAGTAGGGAGTTGGTAGAAAGTATGAGGGGAATAACTAGAGTAGCTGAAAAGACTCTGCTTTGACTGTTAGAAGCCCAGGTTCTTCAAGCAGAAAGGAGGCCTGGAAAACCATCCCAGACAGAATATGAACTTGTTCCAGTACTTGGAAGATGTGGAAAATGAACTAAATACAAGTAGACTTGGTAACCTTAGCTAAAACTGGCACCAGTTGACTACAAGAAAATTCCTCCCATCTTTCTGAAAGCTTTGCTATAATGTAAGTAATACAAGTGGGCACTTTATAATACCCCACTGTTTTCAGACCAGTGGTAAAGCAAGTCACTGCTTGCTTTACATTTCTGCGATCCTTTGGTTTGACCAACTTGAGTAGGTTTATTTTCACCGTGCTTGGGTGTCTAAAATGGGATTATTTTCTTGTCTCTCAAACTGAAGCATGCCTTGCCTGATGGAGTTTCTAGCCAGGCTGGATGCATCTCAGTATGGTGACCTGCCATAATGCTGCCTATTCTCTAGAGCTGCTGTCTTTTTTTTTTTTTTTTCCCTTTTTTTTTTTTTTTTCCCCCTGAGGAAATGTGACATTGGTCATCTTGAAGGAAAACTGCATGAGGAAAGAGCTCAAAGTGCTAACTGAGATGAGGGAGGCCTTTCAAATCTAGGTATGCCATTTACTACAAGTGCATTGGCAAAGGGATGGTTAGTCACTCCAGATCTGTCACCTAAAGGGAAACTGCTCACTTTAGCAGGATCCGTGAGGGTTGGTAAGTCAGGCAGAGCTCTGCTGACCGGTCCTCCTGCAAATCTTACCTGGCATGGAAAAGCTCTCAATCTTGGAGCACAAAAGTGGATGTATGGAAGGGCTTCTGATAGTCTTTTGCTTCAATTCACATGCTGTTTTGCTCAGCTCTGATCAAATGAGTTAAGCTCGTGTGGGAGCAGTTGTTCTTTTAAATGAACAAAGTGTGGTGCAGTCATTTCTGAACTGTACCGCACTCTGGATCTGTTGCCACCATGAACCTCTTAAATACAACCCACCCCACCCCCCTTTTTTTTTCTTTGCCTGCGGAAGTCTGTCTCTTGCAATGAGCTCACCCACAACAAAAGCTTCTTGGAGTCCTGTTCAGCTCCAGCTAGGACCTACCTAACAACAGCTCCTTTCCTGTCATTCTCTCGCCTACTAGACATAGCAGCCGTATGAGTATTTGGGTGGGGAAGGAAGGAGATTGCAACATCCATTAAGAAAAAACAGAAGGCTTGTCTGTCTGTCTTCTCAAGTGCAGCTGTAAAACTTTCCTTGGCCTTTGAAAACTGAGTTCTGCCATGTAGTGGGTGCGAGCTGTGGAATACGTCAGCCTTTGAAGTTAGTTGCTTTAAATAGGCAATTGCAAATAGCATCCAAATTTAAGCTTTTGTAGCATTTTTGCTGCAAGCTGGAATAAGTTACTTACTCTGACAGTGCGCGGTGGATGGTGAGGCTGAGTTACAGGTACCCCATACCTCTGCATGTGTCTCTCGGCCATCAAACTGTGTTTACCTTGATGACACTAAATCTGAATCTCCAGAAGTGTAGATGTACAATGAGCCTCTTGTTGAAACCAACTTTGTATTTCCCTGCAAGACTTCAGTCTAATGTTTTAACAGAAAACTGTGCCAGCTGTGACTGAAAACTGCTGTGTTCACGCGATCGCAGCCATGGATAAGCAAACCTGTCCTGAAGTGTCTGAACTAAGAATGACTGAAAGGCTGCGTGTCTGTCTTCTGTATTTCATTCATTTATTTATAGGGAAAAATCTTTGACCACACAGGAGAAGGCAACTAAGAGCCCCAAGGCATTTATTTTCTCATCTGTAGTGTTTTGAGAGCTTAGAGACTGCCACTTGGTACAATGCAGCACTTCATGGTTTTTAATCAATAGGCATTAAGTTGTTCTTATTTTTAATGCTGGGGATGGGGATAAAAGCTTTGCACAAGGAGTTGAGATAACAGGTAGAGCTGCATGCATTTTTTTCCTGTTGTAGCCTCATGTATGATGACTTGAACAGGCACGGTGAGTTTGAAGCAAGTTGTGCTGCCCTAGCAAGAACATGTCTACCTTCTAGATATTTGCACTGCGTACCTTTATATATTTACCTGAATTTCCCCAGTCCTCCATTGAGAACTAGTCTTGTTACCTGCATGCACAATCAGATGTCCTTGGAGAAGCAAAAAGTAGATAAGAGAAAGGAAACTGTCTTGTGTTGCTTTGCTGGTGCTGCCTTGTTAAGTTACCGATGGCAAAGTTTCCCGTATATGCCTAGTGGGAGAGCAATTCAATCCAGAAAAGGAAAAACCTTCCTTACTTTTCAACAATACTTAATGACTTTCCAGAATTTACACAGCTCTCTTGGGAAATATCTTTCCTGTATCCATTGTCTTAATGTAGTGCCTTTCCTAATCGTTCTTTGTCATCTCCAAGCTTCTGGAAAAGTGAGTGTTTCCCAGGGTGTAGGCTGAGGGAAAAGAGTTTGCGCATTGCTGCCTAGCTTCTCAGAGTGATACTGTGTTAATCAAGTTAATCAAGAGCAGTGACTCATAGAAAATGAAGACTGGATAATCCAAGTGATTATTTATCACTTCTTCTCTGGTCGACGTGCTCGTTTCCTGCT